GACAAAAAATCACTTTAAATACCTTTAATTTATTAAAACTATTGTGCTATCTTTACTCTCAACTTTAAGCTTTTAATACTAATAACACTGTAAAACAGTATTATAAGTAGGTCATGAACAATTTCTCACAACCTTAGTTTGCAATTGTTTATATCAATAATCAAAACTAAGGATAAAAAAAAATAGGTTAAAAAGTTTTTTAGATATATTAAATCTTTTTAAAAAACTTTTTAAACCATTGGTGCTAAAACTAAAATTTAAAATTTAGTACTAAAATGCCGATTCACCAAATTTTATATAAATACTTTTTTAAAAAAATATATTTACTTTATAAACTTTCTAATTACAAGAAATGCACAATCATTTATCTATATATATATTTATTATTATTATTTTTTTGTAAACTTCTTTTACTTTAATGCATAACTATAAATTTAATTATTATTATCTTCGAACCAACCATTAATTTCAATTTTTTTAAATTTTAAATTCTGATAGACTGTAAAAGGTCTTTTACCTATTCATTATTTAATAAATCTTTTATACTTTCTAAAGCTTTTTTATCTATATAAGTGGTCCTTTAATCAAGCAACTAAATTAACTAAATCCTCTTTAAAGTATAATTTTCATAACTTTTGTAAAGTTCGAGCGAATTTTTCTTAATAGAGTTGTCCCATGAAGCAGGCTGTTTATAATTTTATATTTTAAAAAGATAATAACAAAATTGTATTTTGATGAATTAGTTAAATAAATAAATACTATTCCATTAGGGTAGTGCGCATTTCGCTCACAATCACTTCACAGACAACTTGGTTTATAAACAACTTCATTTTATCAATAATTATTTCACTGACAACTAAGAATTAGAGTTAAAGTTAGTGTAATTTATAAAAAATAATTGTCAGAGAAATGAACTTGTCTGTAAAATGATTTTCGATGAAATAATATATATCCATTTAGGTCAAAATATATTAAATCATTTAAAAACAGGTTTAAATTAAACAAACATGTCTTTTTACATTCTGTTTTAAAACATTTTCCATTCATATAAGAAGCTAACAATTACTTTCTCATACAAAATATTCCCAAAAATATTTCATAACATTAAGCCTCCATTTGCCACCTAAAACATAATAAAATTCTTGAGGCTTAATTATTTACGCTTTTAATACTATCAATTTATATTCGATTTACGGTTTTAAATTTTAATCCGTAATACTAACTTTGACTTTTATATAATTTACTTTTTTTAAAATTAATATATATATTTATTATATTAATTATCATATCATATCACATACACCAAATTCTTGACATAGAATCCCCAGAGTATATATCAGATGAACAAATTATTGATCTAAATGATATTGCTACGCATCATACAGAACAAATAAACTCAACACTTTCTCAATGATCTATATCAATAGAATTACAAAATATAATAGACGAATTTAACCAAAATATTTTAACTCAATTCTCATACATCCTCTGTTCTTTTTGTTCTAGATTAATGTACCCCAATAGATTCAGCGAAATCCTAGTACTACATACCCTATAACTATTGCTTATCCTAATACCCTATTAATAATAAATCCTAAGTCACCTCCTAATCGTATTGCAGTATGTATATCATGCAAAACAAATCCAACTCATAATTATCCACTATATATTTGTCAAATTCCACCTAAGATTAATTCTGTACCATTAGAAAAACGCAGATATTTATCACCTGTCTTTCTTCATTGTTCTTTGGGACATACACCTGGTGCTAATCTCTTTTCTAAATATAGAACATTAGTTGGAACCTTTAATTACTCTCAAAATCTTCATTCATTTAGCCTTTATTCAGGAATATTAGGTGCTTACCTATCTACACCAACATCTGATCGTCCTATACTTCCTTCTTGGTTTGATAACTCTATATCAAATGCTATTAATTGGCTTAAAGAAAACAACTCTTATTTACATGAATATTTCTAATTAATTCCAACTACTACTAATTAATTTCCCTCTGCTACTCATTTATCTGTTGATGAAAATACTCCTCCAATTCAACATAGAGATATAGTAATTCCTCATCAAAATTTTCCAGCTGAAATTCATAATGAAGATGCTCATTATAGTCATTTAATGGCTGGATTTATATCAAATACTGATACATATAGAATTCTAATTGCTTTTAATAATCCTAATCTTGAACCTTTACTTTTTCTAGACTTATGACGAATGGGTTCAATGGAACTAATATTTTTACTACTTGGTGAATGCATTATAAACTCCTCAATACAAGTTCAATATTTAACAACTGATCCTCCAAATACACAATCTAAAGCAGTTCTTTCACTTTATATGATTAATTCTCTGAATGATGATCCTTATTGGAATGATAAAATAGAAAATTATTTTGCACGTCTATTAGATAACATATTTGACAATATAATATATAAATTATATTTTGAAACATATGAAATTAAACTATCTTTACCAAATATATCTAATAGAATAATATATCATGATACTTTTAGAAATTTTGTTATTAAGCGCAAAAATAATATATTAACCCGAATACGTCTACTATAACCAGAACATGGTGAATCATATTTTTATCAATAACTACTACTAAAATTTCCATGTATATCTGAAAATGAAATGCTTGGTAACTATCAAAATTATCGAGATAGATTTTTATTTTTATTTCCAAATGAATTTCAATTAATTCAAACACTAAATCATGAATTTATATTAAGACAAACAACTAATGCTTTAAACCAATTTAACATTCTTATTGAAACAATATTATTATTACTAAACTCAATCTTAACAACAAATATCATTGATATAATTAAATTCTATTAAAATACCTCCTAAAATTATGCCTTTAAATCCAACAATTAACTTACCACCAAGCCAATATCAATGTTTACAAACTATAACAAATTATTTAGGCCCACAGGATAGTTTACATTATCCTTTCTTTTTTATTACTGGACCAGCTAGTACTAGTAAATCCTATATGATACAATTATTATTAGAATACTTTCAACAAATTAATCAAAACTATCTTATTATGGCCCCAACTAGAATTGCTGCTCAAAATATTGGTGGATCAACAATCCACTCTGCATTACGAATCATTCAAAATGAATTTGGCTTTCGTACACTTGCATTTCATGATACAAATCTTACAAACTCACTTCTTTAAATTGATACAATAATTATTGATGAAATCTCTATAGTATCAGGTCAACTTCTAATCTATATATCAGAATTATTTGAATTATTACATAAAAACAATCACCCATTTGGTGGCATTAATGTTATTTTAGTTGGTGACTTAGCACAACTACCCCCAGTTTCTGGCTCTACTGTTTATCAATCTCCATTATAGTTTCTCTTTTACTCATTATTTCTCTGTGAGCCTCAAAGACAAACAGAAGATATACAATTCTACAACCTCTTGCAAAAAATTAGATTAGGCAATATAAATGATCAAGTCTGGTATACTTTACTTCAAAATCAAATTGAAAGTACAACCAATTCAAATTTATATACAAATTTAAATACAACACATATTGTAGGATATAGAGAAAATGCTGATACAATTAATAGAATAATATGTACACTAATTCCTACTCAAGAAAATAAATTTACTATTTCTAATTGTATTGATATCATCAACAACAAAATTTATAATAATCATTCAAGACATCATGATTTTAAACATAAAACGAACCTACCTAAAACAATCAGAATTCAACCTGGTGCAAGAGTTATGTTTTTAAACAATTCTCAAAGTCAACATCGAATAGCCAATGGTACTATAGGCATTGTTACAGATCTTGACCTAGAAACAAATCATGTATATATTAGTTTCTGCATTGAAGGTGCTATAATAAATGTATCATTCATCAAAATTACTACTAATTTTAATATTGATAGTTTATCTGCAAGTCGTACTCAGTACCCCATACAAAATGCTTTTGCATTAACCGTTTATAAAACACAAGGCCTAACACTTCCCGATGTATCATTAAGCTTAGATAACCAGATATTCACATCTGGTCAAGCTTACGTAGCACTTAGCCGTTGTACCAAATGGGAAAATGTAAAAATACAATCATTAGATCGTACTGCATTTATAACAAGTACATTAATGATTAAAGAATATGAACGATTAGAACTTATAGCTCATAATCCATTACTATTAAATACTACATACTATACCAATTTAACCTCCCACTATATACAATATTTTATAAAAACTTCTTTACTTCAAAACTATATCTCTATTAAAACACATATATATATCAATAATAATTAACTCCACTAAAAAAACTATTATCTAAAACTACTCTTAACATATTACTTATTTATATATACTGAAATAAAACTATCTAATTAGTAAATTAATGAATCGTAAAAATCATCAATTAACCTATCCTAACCAATACCAAATTAAAATCCTGTTAATAAATTCAAACATATACATTATAAAGTCATTATCATCCTTTTTTAAATCTAACTGTAATTACCTGTAATACAAATTACTATATTTCTAAAAATTCAATCATCAACAAATTCACAAAATAACTATAATTCAAAGAACAATTAAATATTAATAATAACTAAACTTCAAAATTCTATTATACATTACTTATAAATTAAATATAAAATGAATCTTTTAACTATTAAATACATATAAAAATTACAATTTCACTTACTAACTTAAAGCCCACCACTCTAGAATAAAAAAAAAAGTTATCTACAAATTAGAGAACTAAACATAACCAATATAATCAAAAACAAAAACAAATATACTTATCTTAACCTCAATTAATATGTCAAAACTTAAAAGCCTTAAAACCTAAACCAATTATCATCACGCATCTTTCAATCTTTTAATATAAACTATTGAAAATAGTAAATTGTTTTAACATTACCTTATTAATCACTACTTTCTTAATGTACATTTGTACTAAATATGCTACATACTAAATTTCTTATTCACTCAAATCTACAACCAGGCGACGAAGTCACCTAAACATCACATTGCTAGTTTATTAATTATAATTGTATCATTGGCCTCTACACCACTAAGTATACTTCCTTTAATATATTTAATTGTCAATTCTGGATAATTACCCAAGATAGTATTCGAAAGAAATGTATTGAAAAAGTTTGTTGTTTGATCTTTGCAAGCATTTCCAATTGAATTCATGCAAAATTCGCTGACAACCCAGAGTAAGTTTGATGTTGTGCCAATTGCTATATTAAAAGTTTGAGGTGGTGTTCCAAATTCAATCGAAAAGGTCCATTGTATTAAAGATTTTTTAAAAGTAAGATTTATTTTTAGTGGCGTAGTGATAGGTGTGATAGGTGTGATAATAGGTGTATTAGTAGGTGTATTGTTAGGTGTTGTCATAGTTGCAGTGATAAGTGCAGAGTTAGGAGGGAGTCCCCTTGTATCTCTTTTCCAGTTCTGATCAAGGCTATTTGTTTAGACATTTTTATGATTGAATTGAGCATTAGAAGTATACGATCTAAAAATTATAAAGATAATTAATAAAATATAACTTCGTTTTAGTTGATGAATATGATGTTTAGACAAGAAGGTAGTCATTACAAGATGCTATAAATTAGTTGCAACTGTATTATTAATTTTAATATGCTGTTTATATAATATTAATTAGTTTCACAGTTCCAAATTTCTGCCTTCTGGTGTCAAGTAAATTAAAATTATATGACACTATACAGTTATATGGAACCTTTTTGGTAGAAAGAGTCCAAACTGCCCTGGAAATCAAGAACGAGTTTTTGCATGTATAATTCCAATAATGTTATGGACTAAGCCGTAACTAGTTATGGCAATCATCACTAATTGGACCATTGTAACTGGAAATCAAATAGCATAATAAAAACTAGCGCTAGATAACAATAAAACCAGGAATGGAAAACAGTCGGATATGACTTGGTTTTATATAAATTTCAATGGTAAATATTTCTAATTTATCATTTAATTGACTAGTCAACTTTTTTAGTTGATATTTGTCGATATTTTATAAATATAACTATAGTCAATTTGATATAGTTAAAAAACTCGATCTCAAACAGTATTATACTCATTTTGTCATAGTTCTAATAACTAGTATATTAGAGGTGCAAACATTTAAAATTTTGGACATAGCTACCCCAGCAAAAATATCACTATAAATAGAAGTACCACATGCCGTCATTCGCCTTAATTTAGTAGGCGAATATACGGATGATCTATTAATCAGTGGATTAAAAAAGTGATTCATGTTTACAACCACTTATTTACACTAACTAAAACCCTTCAGATTACCTTTCTATTCGGTTATTGAGTATTACAATAAAATTTTAATGATATAATAAATATAATATTTGACAACGATTAAAGACAGCAAAAGTATACATTGTAATAATGATGTTTGGCATGTAATCCCAACAAGTAAAAATGTGAATATTAATAATTAGAATTTCAGCTTAGACTCTGAGAATGCAATTGAACAGATTTTATTCAACAAATTACTGTATAAGCATTTGTGGGCATTATTTTGAAAATCAGATCTTTAAAAAAATGACTTTTCTGTAGCACCAAGCCTATATAGTTTCGAATGCTCCCTATTGTATAATCAAACTTATTTTAAATTACATAAATGGTTTCATTTGACATTAGTAATTCCGATACACCTGATATGTTATACAAAACTGTACTGCTATATGACCTTTTGCAAAACTGATTTACCTTTACTATCACTATTATTGTTTACAATATTCTGTGTTATTATAGCGCATAGTAGCCTTTTATTTGAATAAAAGCTCTTATTCGTTAACGATATTCAATTTTGACCGGTCCATCTTAATCTTCCTTACTATTTAAGTTTATGTGGTGTATTCTTTTTTGGCCCGCTTGTGAATGAAGTCACAAGGCGGAGCATGAATCATGACACAATATTCCTCCTAGAAGGACTTTTTGGACCAACAGCATCAAAGCTTGCATTTCAAACTAGAAGTATAGACATAAAATAAGAAAAATGAACGAAGGTCTAAATCCCAAATAAAAGTTATGAGAAAATAATAGTATTAAATTTTTTTTAAAATTTTACATGGTTCTGCAATATTTCCTAAGTTAAAATATACTAGATAAGCACGTCCATTCTCTTGTATATGAAGATATTTTGCCAAATGACAATCAATGCTAGCTTGTATAATGTTACTTAGTTTCGTAATTTATTTAAACTGTATTTCCCAATATACTGGATTTATTGTCAGTTTAATTTTTTTTAATTATTTCCCGATCAATCTTTTCCGGTAACGATACAAAAATAGACACAATGATAAGATAAAGTTTTATTCATAATAAATAAGGACCAACGACTGCACAAAATAGAAAATACGAGCATATTCCGATCATCCTTGCTAATATGTTAAAAATAGTTAGAAATGTAAATATATATATTTGTATGTTGTGATCCAAATTTAAATTTGCCCTAATTGTCAATTGGGACGGCCAATTTACTACAATTAACATTTGGAAAAATTGACATCTGAGGCACAACATGTATATACTTTTAACAAAATAATATAATAAATTTGATTTACCTGTATTAAAACTAAATTCTTCTTTTTTAGTAATTAAATCATTTAATAAATAAAAAACAAAAATAACTGAAGATAGAGGTGTGGCGACTTAGTGTAGTGGTCTAGTTGTCACCCTCTCCAAGTGGCAGGTCTAGAGTTCAAATCCCACAGATGATGGATTTTGAAAAATAGGCTTGTGTTATGGTTGATGGTTATGATTATCGATTAGATCTTAGATAAATCTGTAACTTCAGTCACACCATCTAGTAATGGGAGCAATGGCGCAATAAAATCGAGAAACTGGAATAACTGAAAACCCATTTGGGAAGTCTGAGCTAAAGAATAGTGATAATCTATGATGGTACTACATAAGGGCTGAATTCGAACTGGGGTCCAAGATCAGAGAACTGAATGACCAGGTCCTAATAGCAGAGGACACACCAGCTAAACTGCCGGGTTCTGTCATACCAGAAGAAAAGGGCATACGCTTCGAAAGTATGTACCAAGGGGAGGGCGTCCTTCAGGCACCTAAGGCCTGGGCAGACCAACCCTTCTGGGTTGCTGGCTGGAAGTAAGAGAGAGATCGATAAAGAATCTGGGTAAGAAGATGGTACCAAATGTGGGTATTGGGGTTGTTGTGAACCTTAATAAGAGCAAGAAGTAGGTAATAGTCAACTGACTTGGAAAGGTTGTGGCTTAAGATATGGACCGGGTTATGGCAGCATTCTAAAAGATGGCTTGAGGTACGAATCCAGTGTTGGCAGCATAACAGGTACTAAAGTTGGTTACAAGGGGTTCAATGGTTAGCTCTGACCTCAAGTGCATAGGTCAAGCTATGGCATAAAATTACCAAAGTCTGGGTGAGGCACATGAGTGGGACAGATGCCCTAGCAAATAGGCGAGCATGTTCTACTGTTGATCTGGAGGGTAACCTCCTAGTAAGTTAGGGGCCGAAGGGGAGGTAAAACATTGCTAGACGGTTACACATAGGCACCTTAGAGCAGCCGTGTGATGCTTTACGCATGAATAGAGGTACTAGGTCTGGGAACTGCAACACTGTGGGGGAGGGACCCAGAATATATAAAAATATATAGACTAGGCTCTATACTACCTTGTAATATACTTAACTGTTCAGACGTAATAAAGTGGTTACCGTTGAAACCAAAAAAATAGTCTACCTACACACTTTCATTTTCACTCTATTTCACCTAATCTATTTCCATCTTCTAACTATTTTCAATGCAACCTTCCTGACTCTCCTTCTTACTAGTATCTTTGTTCTCACTATAACCTCTTATCCCAAATTATTAATTCTTCTATTTCAAAAACTGTTTTAAATGCCAATCTTGATCTTGCTTCTCATGAACTTAATTACTTAATATATACAATTTCATCTTATCTTTCCTTCTCTCTTTATCCTTCTACTTTCTATCTATATTTTCTTCATTCTACTCTTAAAGGCCTTATTTCTTCCCCACTCATCCAATGCATATTACCATTTGACATACACAGGTCGAATGAAGACAAATCAAGAACAGTACTCCAGATAAAAACCGGAGATATATCGGGTTTCGATATTTTTCTGGTTTTTTATTTTTAAATCAAATAAAAATCGGGTTCCCGATATAACTATGAAGATAATCTGAAAATCGCCTAATAAACTTTTAAGTATATCGGGTTATTATTAGGAACTTATCAAATAAAAATCGAGTACTCGATTTAACTCTGGAGTTAATCTGAATATAAACCGCCAAACCTTAATTATATCAGTATCATTAGATAACCTATCAGTTAAAAATTGAGTATCCCGGTAGGACTTTGGAATTATTCTGAATATAAACCGCCAAACCTTAATTACATCTGAATAATTAATAAACGTATCAGTTAAAAATCAGGTACTTCGGTAGGACTTTGGAATTAATCTGAATATAATTGCCAAATCATAATTATATCAGTATAATTAGGTAACATATCAGTTAAAAATCGGGTTTACCAGTAGGGCTTTGGAATTAATCTAAATATAAACTGCCAAACCTTAATTATATCAGAATAATTAGTAAACGTATTAGTTAAAAATTGTGTACTCGGTAGGGCTTTGGAATTATTCTGAATATAAACCACTAAACCTTAATTATATTAGTATAATTAGTAAACGTATTAGTTAAAAATTGGGTACCCAGTAGGGCTTTGGAATTAATCTGAATATAAACTGCCAAACCTAAATTAATTTGAAACTAATAATATAAACATCAGCTACCTATATGTCATCGTAATTTATCTGATAAATATAAGATTGTAAACATAAATAT